TTTGGAGCCTGTTCTGAAACATGAGAGAGTTGTTTTTTTTGTGTGTGTGTGTGGATATAAGGTAAACTTTACATGGTTTTATGATTCACATAACTATATTTCAGCTTATAATATTTTATTTCCCAATCCATACAAAGTATATGTCCTCATAGGCAACATTGTTTTTCTACTCTTTTCCCAGCCTGGTCTTGTTGTTACAGACCCATCTTCTTACAAGTGACTTATTTATTAACCTTTTTCAGTTATCTTGAAAACACTCTCACTATGTGTCCAATTTTTAGGTTAATCTCGACTGCAAAGCTCCAACTCGATCCTCCACATGGCTGACTTGGCTAACTCTGCCAGCTACTAGGTTCCTGAGAGCCAAGCCTTAAGGCCTGGTTGGAGGTTTGTTTGACCTGGAACCTTATTCAACCCCAGCTATAGAATGCCAGTGCCCTGCACTGTGGCAGGCGATTTTTATTTAGTTCTTTGTTTCTATTTAGTGTGAAAAGTGCTGTTTGAGTGTTCTGCTATACAGCAGGGTTTCTTAAAGGAGCTGTATTTCTTTTTCTTTCCTTTTTCAGCTTTCTCAGGCTCTAGATGGATGTTTGATGATAAGCCAAAATGTAGTTGTTCTTTGTTTTGCTCATTTTCCTCTTGTGGTCTTTTGCTTTTTACTCTTTGGGGGGGGGAAGCTACCACCCAGCTCCCAAACAAAGTGTCTTATTCTTTCTTATAAATGCCTGGCCTTATTTCTAACCAGATTTTCTTACATTATGCCCATATACATTTTGCCCATGGGTATTGCGGTAAATAAGGATCAGGATAAACAAATACGCCGAATAGATGTTTACTCAGGGAGAAATAACTTACAACCTAGACAGATGAACACCAGGAAATTCAACCCGATCCTCTCCTGTCTGAGTCACTTCAGAAAGAGAGCGCCTTCCTGGCCCCCTCCGACCTCCTTCCACAGGTCACTTCCGCCCATGGCTCCACCCCCCAATGGGCGTGGTCAGTGCTACAGAAGGACTATCTCACTACACATGGGCCTTTCCTTTCCTTCTACTCATAAGTGGATATTACCTATAAAATAAAAGACAACTATGCTGCAATACATAGCCCCAGAGATGCTAGGTTACAAGGAGGGTTGTGAGGGGACATCCAGATCTCCCTGGGAAGGGAAATAGAAGAGATTTCATGAGTGTACTGAGGGCCAGTGGTGAAGGGAACATGAATGGTTAGGTTTGGGGTGTACAGAGGAAGGGTACTGAGAGTACTTGAAAGGGAGAACATTTTGGGGTTAGTTAAAAACCTGGTGCAAGAGAATCTCCCAGATATCTACTAGGAAGTCCCCAGTTTAGACTCCTGGCAATAATATATATATTATTGGCCATCTCCTGTGACCAGATTGGAGCCTAGCCCAGTGGTAATCAGAGAGACTTCATCCAGCAACCGAGGGGAACTGATACCAAATATTAGGTGGAGTTTGAGCAATTCTACAGAAGAGGAGGAGGAAAGACTTACGTAGGGGCCAGATGAGTCAAGGACACCACAAGAAAACTCACAGAATCATCTAATCTGGGCTTATAGGGGCTCACAGGGACTGAACTGACAGCCAGGAAGCCTGCATAAAATTGACTCTAGATATATGTTACAGTTGTGTAGCTTGGTCTTCTTGTTGGACACCTAACGAAACAGGGGCTATTTCCTATTTTCTAATGGCTTTTCAGGGACTCCTCTTCATATGGCGAGTCATTTCCCAGCCTTAATACATGGGGAGTTGCTTAATCTTAAGGCATTTTGATATGCCATGATTTATAGATATTTCTTAGAGATCTGCCCGTTTCTAAACAGAAATGGACAAGGAGTGGATTGGGGGGTAGGAGCAGAGTGGTGATGGATGGGAGGGAGTGGGAAGAGAGGAGGAGAGGAAACTGTGGCAGGGATGTAAAATAAAAAAAAATAAACCCTTTTAAAAAACAGTGGAAAACATTTATTTCTTTGAATGTTTTGTAATATTGGTATAAATTCTGTTGCACGTATATATATATAAGAAGGGGATTATGTAAACACTAGATAAATATATATTTAAAAGTATGTTCTAAATACCATAATTTTTTGATTTACTGTATGACAAAGAAAGCTGGTATTTGGTTAGTTGACAGCAGTAGAAACCTTGGAAATTATCTGTTAATGCTTGTTATTGATGACACTTTCATCAAGATTCTGCTCCTACCAATGGAGTATGGTAACTTACATGATGTTGACTATTATCAAAGGAAAAACGCTTCATAAATGTAAAGATTTTCACAGTAATATTTCATTTAACCTTATTAGAGACAAATCTGGAGTTTATCAGCAAGAGTATTTATGTATGTTTCACATTAATTAAAAATTTCCACCTATCTCATAATTTTAGTAGGATTTTAAAACCTTTATTATGGCATATTCATATATATAAGAATTTTTTAACTTTGTATTTTGAAGAAATTATAGAGGGTCACTAAGAATTACCAAACACATTGAACAGACAGGTCCAACTCATGCCTTGCTTAACTCCTTCCCATGTTAACTACTTGAATAACTACAGTACAAGAAGAAAAAATGGAGTTGACTTTGATATATTCACAGTGTGTCTGTGTGCGTAATTTATCATATCTATAGCATCTTGTCATACAGAATAAAGACAGATTGTTTTCATGTTAATCATAGGGTTTTTATACTTGCTACCATATCCAGGCCACATCACTCTTCCAAAATATATTATTATTTTAATATTTCTCCAATTCTGTAATTTTTTTATTTCAAGAATGTTATAAAAATGGAATCATATGGTATGCATCCATTTGAGTTTGCCTTATAAAATCAGCATCATGTCGTCAAGAGCCATCGAAGATGTATGTATGAACAGTTTGATCCTATTTCAGGTTTACTAGCATTCCAATACAGATTTCGTACCCTCCTTTTATATTTTATGTATGTGTGCATTTTAATGAGTGTGTGCCATGTATATATAAGTGCCCTTGGAGGGTGGAAGAAAACTCAGGACAACCTGGAGCTAGAACTATAGATGGTTGTCAACTTCCTGACATGGGTGATGGAAAATGTACTGGTGTTCCCTGGAAAAACAACACATGCTATTACCTACTGAATTAGTTCTAAGTCCCCCAGCAGTTTTTGTGTTTCAAAGAATATAAGGTTTTTCTTTAGTTAATGCTATATATATATATATATATATATATATATATATATATATATATATTGTGTGTGTGTGTGTGTGTATGTGTGTGTGTGTGTGTGTGTGTGTGTGTGTGTGGTTGAATCACACTATTAATCTAAACTCAATGTCAAAATCTAACTTAGTTCCCAATAGTGTGATATAGTTGGTAACATGTCTATAATGAGTTAACAATGAAATATGAGATCATATGAATGGTCATAATAGAATGCTTGATGCTCATGCATAAAGAAACTTTTAGGGGACTGGATACAAGAGGAAAGACAATGTGGAGACATGGTACAAGTTGGCCAATTTGAAAGCCTAGAAAACCATCTCAAGGTGGAATCAGTCCTTCTGATATATTGAAGTCTACAGCACTATGAAAGAGAAATCTTTACTATAAGCCACAGAGTGCATGGTGTTTATCAAAGTTGATACAGAAACTAACGAAGTGTTCAAATATAGTTTTAGTTTTGTAAGTTTGTGTTATATGTGTTTATTGATGCATTCTGTTGTAGTCTGTTGTGTATCCAGGTAATTTATGGTTACTTCTTGAAAGATGTTTTAAGCCATTTTATTTTTTCTTTATCACACTCTGCAATATAATTTCGTTGGAGGAGAATTAAAGACACAAAGATACACAAATATTTGTTTCTGGCTATATCTGAATGAAATTTTGAAATTCTGCAGTGAGATGATGGGTAAATTTAAATCAATTTATCACATTTTAAGTCAGTTTAAGTACTTTTCATAACATTACAAAGACAATAGTACTGCAGTGTGTGTGTGTGTGTGTGTGTGTGTGTGTGTAGCAGGAAAGGATGTCTTCCAAATTGCATTGATGATGGAAAACATCTTTCCCTGATAATTTTGAAAGACTTCTCTCAGCTCTCATTAGGGAAATCCTGGTGTTGACATATGTGGCCACAGTGACACAAATGCCTTGTGTCTAAATTAATTTTTATATCCTCCTCTCCTGTACTACCAACATAGACCCAACTCCCTTAAAAACAGAGACCTATTGGAAGCTGACCCCCCAAAGATGTTTTTGCCAGTCTGTTGGGCAATCTGTTCTTTGCAGAGATATCATTGAGTTTCCTCAAAAGAGTGGTGGTAACTGTGGACCTTCAGATTGATAATTCTGCCATTTTCACAAAGGCAGGTTTGACTTGTAAAAACCTGTTAAACAATCTCTTTAATGTGAAATGTCAACTTTTGTCTAAGTTCTTTCCCCTTTTCAAAGCATCGAATGAAGACTTCAACAGGTTTTACAGTGGCTCTCTTATTTTGGGAGTCTGTGCAAGAAGGGAGTTAAGAAGTTCTTGTATACCTTTAGTGTAGTGATTATCTGCCCAAAGGTGGTTTGAAAATAAAGGCACATTAGCTGGAATGTTTTTCAAATAAAGATTAATTATAATTGCAATAACATTATGTTTTGTTTTAGTTGACAAAAAAGGATGGCACCAAACTGGGTCAATTGGAACTCAGTGAATTTAGCAATATTTCATTTATAGCTAACTTTCATTAGCAAAATTAAATACACACTTATTAAGAAATATTGGCATCTGACTATATTAAAAATACACTCACTACAGAGAAGTGTTTTATCCTATAAGGCCATGCTGTTTAGGGTGTAACAAAACTCTTTCTTTACCTTGAGGAGGAATCAAAGCAAAGATATCATGTTTGCAGTGTATTCGGCGAACATCACAACTAAGCTACATACAAGCCTATCAAGGTCTTAAACATAAAAACACATGGGAGCCAATATTGAGAGAACAGCAAAGGGACTTACCATCTTGATCTGTGGTCACTGTAATAGCTGTGAATGGCTTGGGAGAAATGCTCAGCTCAGAAACTCCATTCATGGCTTCTATTTCAAAAGTGTAATTGACATGAGATACAAAATCAAGTACTATCACGGAGTGGTTGGTCAATCCAGTGTGTCTTGGAATGAAGCGGAGTCCTCCACCGCAGTCTTCACATTGGCGAGTGTCTAAGCCACATTTCTTACAGATTACACTGTACGTGAGATCTTTTCTCCCTCCAGTGTCACTAGGTGGGCTCCATTCCAAAATAAGGGCTGTTTCATTGATGTTAAAAGCCACATTTCTAGGAGCTGAAGGTGGCCCTAGAGAAAAGCAATGAGAAAGCAATATGTACATGGATAGAACAATGAATGATGGTGGTACTACACTGAAAATTTCATGATTACATGCTGCTGATCTTTAATATTAATTGTAGATCATATCCTTAGAGGAACTGTAAAGAACTTGTTTAAATATTTGATGGAAGGAAAAAGTCTTTAAGGGTAAATACAGAATATTTCTTAATTTTTGAGTATTTATAGTCAAAGTCCATGTATTTCCAAAGGACACTTTTAAAGTTTGTTTGCTGTAATTGTGTGATGGATGGGAATTATAAATTATTAGATGACCATCCTTATATCATCATTAATTTTATTATCATTTTCACAATTTGAAATCATCTGGGGTATGGAAACTCAGCACACTGTCCAGTCTTCCAGTCCTCATAATGTCACTGTTGTATAAATGACCCATTCACTTTCTTTGCCAAATCCATAGCATCTATTTTTCAACAATTTGTAATAAATGGTCATAAATTAAGGGTGGTCAGACTATTTAGAAACAGAAATGAAATTCAGAGGCAGCAGAAAACCCTTTCATAGTGCCTTCCCAACTTGAAGTCATATATGCATTATGACATAAGATGAAATCACTATATTTTTATGTAGATGATTTGTTAGTAAACATTAGTAACCTAGACTTTCACTGTGAAATGTTCCTAAAGAAGACTCAGCCAAGCCTCTCTTCATTGTCCTCAAAGACACATTCTTTCTGGGTTTCTATACACATTACAACACACATTGTACCCAACAGCTTTTCATTACCTTGCAAAGTTATACCAATAATCTTTTATACTCACACTAGTCTTCCACATCTCAGTTACTGTCCGTTCATTGAGCAAATATTACCCAAGTGTCTCATCAGTGACAGACTGTGAGTTTATGGTTATTTTAATGCCCTGAAATCCATATACTGTGAGAATAGGGTTATGAGACATAATTGAAAAATAACTTGCTATACAAGTGCTGAAAAACCAATATTCTGCCACAGCTTAGAATTTTGGTTTTAAGATATCTAAAATAGTTCCATAAATTTCTTTTATCAATAGAAATTGCTTAGTAGGTGGGAATTCTGGAACATCCTCTTAGGATATAACCCAAATTGTGATGTAGGCAATCTTTTGAATATCAGGCTATGATCATTTGTTCATTACTTCAACACTTTATTTAGTGACTACTATGTGACAGATACTTTAGTTGATGTGGTAGACATTACTCCTGCTTCATTACACTTAACATTTAGTGGAAGACGAAAAAATACAGATTATTAATGGATTCAAATGATTAGAATTAGAGGTTTACATCGTTAACAGGCATGAACTGAAGTAAAAACTATCAGAAGGAATTAACTCTTCATAACATCATAAGAAAGCATTGGAAGTGATAAGAAACATCAGAGTGGTGGGAAGAATATTAGGGCTCAAAAATATATAGTTGCAGTCAAGAAAAATCTTGAAAGTCAAAGCAGATAGAGGATCCAAGAAGGAAATTTTAAGGACTAACAAGGGATACCATGGGTAACTCAGGATTTCCTGTATTCAATAGAAGGAAATTTGTGTGTGTGTGTGTGTGTGTGTGTGTGTGTGCGCGTGTGCGTGTGCGTGTGCGTGTGCGTGTGTGTGTGTGTGTGTGTTTGTGTCTGCAGGCATAGTGCATGTCTGTGTTTGTGTGTTTATGAAGGCATGTACCTGTCTCAGAGCTCACATGGAGGTCAGAGGACAACATTGAGTGTCAGGTTTTACCTTCTACATTTTTAAAACATGGTCTCTTTGGTTATTTTTCCAGTGGGTATAATTCACAAGCTTTTGGGTATTCTCTCTATCTGCTTCCTTTCTCCTTAGGGGAGTTAGGATGATAAAAAGCTTGCTCTATGCATTAATTTTTATGTGAGTTCTATACATTTGAACTCAGGCCCCCACACAAAAGGACCTTTCTACATACCGAGCCATCTTCCCAGCCAGACTTGAAGGATTTGAAGTAAAGAGGTGATAGGACTTAAAAACACATAATTAAAAAGCATGGTACATTTTCTGAAAGCGGGGGCATTGCATTAAGTTCTCCTATATAATGTTGATGAGTAGAATGTTAGCCATAAATCTATGTGATATACTAAGAAGTATTATCTGGCTCTTCCTTCCTCTTATGCTGTTCTGATGTCAGCCAAATATAGGCAAGAAACACCACCAATCCATATTTCTATTACCTAACGCTAGACCTAGAAATGTGATGGAGATTTTTATTAAAGGTTGCTGAGTTTCTTGATGTATGTCATTTCATGTTTCCGAGGCCTTACAAATATGTGTGCCTTAGACAGAAAAATATGGAGAAACACAGGATCAAATGTGCATTTTGACTTCTAACTAAATTTATGCATAGAGGATAAAAATTCATTTTCCTAATAATGCCTCCCTGTGACACATTCATATTTCTGATTTTTCACTTACTCATAATTGATAACATGAGTCATTATTCACATATACCTCTACAACTAGGAAACATTATCAATTATCTTATGGATGTTCACAAGTGTATAACTATCTGCTTGGACATATGTTAAAAAATTAAAAAATAGAGACACCCTTCTTACTCAAGGGCCCTCACACCAATTTGCATGATGATGAAATAGCTTTTTAATTGCTGTAAAATTATGTCAGCTAAACTGTGATTTCATGCAAATATTAAGCTGTAATGACATGTACTGAATCATTTACTGAGATTTAGAACTTGGAACCAAGAAAGACAATTAATTCTAATCCCCAGATTCAACTAAATTATATGTCACTGGGCTTTTCTGAATGTGTCGTGACTGCTTTGTTATCATTTATAAATTATACAAAGATTATATAACACCCAGAAAACACAATGTGGCATCAATAACAAATTTAGAGACATTTATATTGAAAACTCTTAAGGATTTCCTTATGTTGATTTTTTCCCCCTTTGGGAAAACAAATAACTCACATTGGGTAGAAGACAGCTCTTATCCTCACCCTCCAGCCTGACTTCGTAATGAGAACATAATTACTCCAACCTGTAGTGGCAGTTTGTAAGCCCAGGTCATAAAAAGCTTTAAGGAAAAACTGGCTGTATTGTTCCTACATTTTCTACTATCAATGTTATGTTCAAATAGGGTCTCTGCTCACAAATACCCCTTGTTTCAACTTGGATTTCTGCTTTACACTTTGAAAGAATAAAATCCCAATGTGTAAGTAAAATGCCTAAGACCCAGGGCAACTGTTTCTTCTTTTCCTATTTCCCCAGAAAGTACCTGGTTCCACAGATACTGTTTCCTTTCACCCCACATTGGCAAGGTATGTTATAGCGATTGTCTTATTATAAGTTTTTTTTTTTTTTTTTGGTAAATGAAAGTTGGTTTAAAGTGTTACTGTCTCCTTCAAAATATCTCTGTGCAATATATTAAATCCCACATGATATCAAATAAAATCACATTCGGTGTTCAAAGAAAAGTATTCTGGCCCATTGCCACTGGAACTTTTTTTTTTTTTTTTGCTGTGTTGACGTCAGCATTTCCTCAAATTGGTTCATTGCATATTATTATCTAGGAAATGTGTGAAGTCATACTAGAATTCTGCAAAACAGTCTAAATCAATGGTTCTCAACCTTCCTAATGCTGTGACACTTTAATACAGTTCCTCATGTTGTGGTGACCATAACCATAAAATTATTTCCTTTGGTACTTCATAACTGCAATTTTGCTATTGTTATGATCATAATGTCAGTATCTGTGTTTTTTGATGGTTTTAGGTGACACCTGTGACAGAGTCATTTGACCCCCAAAGAGGTCACAAACCACAGGTTGAGAACCGCTGGTCTAAATAAAAGCTGACATAGAATTATAGCAAGTTTAAGGATTATATTTCTGTTACAAGCAGTTTTTCCACCTTCCTGGTCCAGAGCCAAGCTAGCCCCAAATAATATACAGAGACACTTTTTAGATATAAAACTGTTGGCCCGTTGCTAGCATTACTTATTGGCTAGCTCTGTCTTAAATATTAACCCATTTCTATTAATCTAAGTATTTCCATGTGTTCTTATCTTACCGGAGAGAGGATCCATATTTCTGTTCTCTCTTGGTCCTACACATTGAATCTCTCTACTACCTATCCCCAAATCTTCCTTCTCTCCTAGTCCCGCCTATCATGTTATTCTATTGGCCAAAAGTGATTTATTCATTAACCAATATGAAAAACATATTTACAGCTCCTCTTTTCTGTCTATAATAAAAAGAAGGGTTTTAACCTTAACATAGCAAAATATATAACAAAACAGTTATCAAATATGAACCACAGTTAACAATATTTAGTCCATTAACATTTAGCAAAATTTTAAAGAAAATATTCCTTCATCTATCCCATTTTTGTGAGTCTAAAGTCTATATGCAACTTATCTTTAATCCTAAACTAAGGAAAACTATAGCCATAACTTATTTCAGCTTTTGTGTGATGTGATGAAGATTTACAGTTGTTTAATCATGTGTTAACTCTTCAAAAAGTCTTTTTTTTTTAATGATAACCTAAAATGATCATACATAATAATAGTTTTCGGTTTCTAATAAGAAAGGAAATTTTATCAAAATGTTATGGTTTGACTGTGAAATCTACTGTCATGTACTAAGCACTATTGTGCCAACATCTGGCGCTGTTGAAGGCTGTGAGGACTTCATTACTCGGAACACTTAGACAGAAGCATTGGATAATTGTGGGTGTGTCCTTTAAGGGAATACTGAAAGACTGGTCCCTTTTCTGCTTTCTCTGGGAGCATCCTGGCGTGAGGGGAGCACTTTGTTCCAATTCAACTTCCCTGCATTGATGTTCTGCTTTGATGATGATCTCTCTTGATAATGACTTGCAGAAATAGACACATGGGATTTGAGACTTCAATTTATGAAACCATGAGCCAGAATAACCTTTTGTCCATTTTCTAGTTCTTAAGTTGCTTCCCTATTTATTTTAATAACTGCAAGG